ACAAAGATACATAAGCTCTATAAATTTTCTGGTGTTGAAGAAAAACTTAACACTGCAGTGAATTTGCTACAAGTTATTTCTCAATCCACCAGAATGTGCTTCCCTTTTTCTGGAAGGAAAAGCCTTTTTCAAGCCAGTTGCTCAAAATGTATGAAGTGATGAAATGCAGATAGCAAATGGAGTGTTTGTTTGAGTTCATGCTTATTACAGCGGTGTTCTGGAAAGTGTTGCTCTTAGGCCTTTAATAAACTCCCTCTAGAGATCAATTACCATGATTTGTCTAGTTACTATGGATAAGAGGTTTTGGGGGGTTGTTGTTGTTGGAACGTTTTGTTAAGCTGAAAGAGGTTTGAATGCTTTTATTCAGGCAGAATTAAAAGGCAACAGGAAGCAGAACACAGTATCTCCAAGGAAAAATAATAATTGAAACAGCCTTAGCACAAGCACTCTGCGGTGTTACCAGGGCTGTAGGACAGTGCCGTCTGTGTGTTTTAGGCTTGTTCACAGGTAGCGCAGAATGTAGGTCAGCGGGAGGAGACGTGTAGGAAGGAGGATAAGCACCGATAAGTTAATACTCTTGACAAAGTTTTCTCACTATAAGGTTTCAGTGTAATCAAAACCAGCCTAGCATTTGAGGAAAAGCACCATGAAATGGAGTAATGGAATTAGCTTTTATGTTTTTCCAGGAACCTAAACCACACTTCCTGTCACAACTGTATATTATTAATACAAGGCATCTGTTAAATCGGAGCTGCCCTAAAATGTGCACAAACATCATACGTCTGGTTTAAATCACTTATTTTTTGACATTTGCGGTGGCAACAAGATGTTGCCTTATCCCATCAGAAAAAAAGAATGTGATTTGGAATACAGCAAGCTTTCAACATGGTCTCTCAGACAGATAATATAATTCTGTTAGTTTAGCAGCCAGGACTGTTACTGCTGCATTTTTATGTCTTGCTTCCTTTTCATTTTGTATTCTGTGGCTGCAACAATTAGCTGCTCATTTCCCACTGTGACTGGAAACTATCTTGAAACTTGCTCCCTTTCCCAACTTCTCCCCTTAGAACTGTGAGCAGAAAGTTACTTTCTGGTTTGGGGGTTTTTCTGGAAACAAAAGTCATCTTTGCCCAGGTCATGACCAGCCTCTTTGGGCAAAGAACCCAAACAGATGGGATAACAAAATGGGATCATCTCAGAAGGACAGTGTCAGGAGAATAATTTCCACATTAATACCCAGTCTGAAAAAAATCTGCTATTGCGTTTCATTATAGATTACTTCAACATATAACAAGGATGACAGAGGCTTCTTTGGGAGCCAGATAAGTCTGGAAGTCTGGCATTGATTCCAGGACTGTGAATCAGGAAAACGAGACTCAGAAATTCCTTTGTAGTTTCCCCAGTCTTTTCCCAAATGCCTGCGTGGAAGGGCTCTGGACAGTATAACAGGTATCTGTCTCTGTATCTGTGTGCTTGCTTTTGTCATGTTAGCCTCATCAATATGATGAACGGGGGGAGTGTGTCTGAAATTCCACTTGATTACGCTAGATGACTTACCAGAGGCCTCTAAGAGCAGCATAAACTCTTGCCAAATACAGTTCTGAGCTGAGATAACATGAGGACCCCAACATGGAGATTAGTTCCCTTGCATAGCTGGCCAGCTGGTTTTCCAGCCCCTGAACGATTCAATTCCTTCTTATGCGGATACTGATACTGCCTTCTTTCTCTCATGCCTATTATGCCGGTTATGCTTGACCACTTTAATTAGCTGTGGTCTTCACTCCAGCTCTTCTCCCTAATGGTTCCACCCGTTTTCTCAGCCTGCGCCCTGAGAAAATCCCCTCTGCACTTTAAAGGATTTGCTCTTAATGAAAAACTAAAGACATACCGAAACTAACAGTATGAGGAACCTATTTTATGCTTTTTCATTAGTATAACCATGTCTTTCCTCATCCCTGGCCTGTTGTGATCCCTTGGCTGTGTTATGTCTTAATTTAGCAGTTCTGAGATTACAGGATAAAACTCTTAGCTAGTTCATGTCTTTAGTGCTATGTACAATAAATATATTGGCTGATGATCTGAATTCATGCATTCTAAACACGCTTTCATGCACTACTCATTTGACACTTCACGTATGGAACAGTAACCTGTCTTTCTAGTCATAGAGCTGGCCTGTGCTCTGAATAGCATTGCTATAAAACAATGACGAAATCCAGAACAGGTCTGCACAACTAAAAAGTGAAATGATGATTTTTCTAACCTACTTCTTGGAAGCATATCTGGGGATATGAAAGCCGAGCTGCCTGTTTTAAGGTTTGCACATCAACAAGTACAAAGATTTTGCAATTAGAGTTCTTTAATAATTTCCTTGGTTGGTGAACCAAAACCAAACCCTATTCACACAATTCAGATTGTGAAAAGAGAAAATATTGTTCGGAGTTTACTCTCCAATGGGACTAATTATTCTTTATATTTCACCCATCACATTATAATCCTCTTCAGAGGGAAAAAAAAAAAAAAAAGAATGAATGTTCTCATTAAATTCTGAAATATGCACTTTTTTTCTGACAAGTTGCTTTTCCTTTGAAGAAGCTAATATCTGATGATGGAAATTGTAAAGAATAAATAAAAAGGCTTTGTAGAGAAAGACTTACTTAAAATGACATTGTCAAAGATCTTTTCATAATAATTAAAAAAAAAACCAACCCTGTGTTTGTGATGAAAACACCATTGAAACTGCAATCTGCTTACTCACCTGGTGCTATTTTCACGTTCTTACTTAACAAAATGCAGAGTATGTTCATTATTGTAAGGCTGCCTATGAGAGCTCGGCTGGGAGCACTGACTCTTCAAAGGCAGAAGTCTCAGCTGAGCAAATCAGTCTTATTCAGCAAACCACTCAAGCGTGCGCTTCAGTTCCATTAATTTGAATGATTGTTTTGACCTGGAGCCTAAAGGGTCCCTAGTAGTTACATAAGGCTTTGCTCTCATCCTTTGCAGTAGGACCAGACATTTTGGGGATAGTCTGTGTATTGGGGTAAAACTGGATGGGAATGTTCTGCTTGATAGCTATGTGTACATAGTTCCCATCTCCCCATGAGAGCAGTATGTGCTGATATCCAAGGGAGAACTGCCTGCTTGGTGAGAAGGAGTTACCTCTTAGACAGGACACAGACCAGTTTAACACTTTAAAAATTAAATTGTTCCGGTATTACAACAGCTCAATATGTGAACACCTTTAGCCAGGTAGACATGATCAAACAAGGCTTAGGTGGACCATAATAATTTGATCCTTCCTGGAAGCCCATCACGTAAGTGTGCCTGATTAAACACACCTCTTTGCTGTTCAGGTGAAGCATAGTTAAGGAATACCTGTCCAAATAAAGAAAAGCAGCTCCAGACTGAGCAGATCTATTAAGAAAAATGTATGATTTGCACCTGAGTGATATTCCTACCTGAAAAAACTACCTTCTCCTACCTTGGAAAAATTTCTATTAGGGGAGAAGTAACTCGTCTGGAGAACAGTAGTCTGAAGTAGGGAATGGCTATGTACTTTTCCAGGCCTGCTTGGCTGCCAAAAGGTTACTAAAAGGCAGAAAACGTGCCTGAGAATATCACGTCCAACTTCAAGGGTGCTTGTAGGTTTATACCAACTATGTTGGGACGACTGTAAGACTAAATGGTGCTTGCATCCAGTTTGACCAAAACCCCCTGCACAGCATGTCAATGATTTAAACATGCTGCTTTGCTCTGCTGCCAGTGATATTTGGCAGTCCACTGGGCTGCAGTACTTTTCAGTAGCAGATTCTTCCTCTGGACGCAAAGTCTGTCTCTACGTGTACTAGGTCTAGATCCATGGACTATCGCTGTGTCTGTCTCTGTTTATAAATTGATAGTACTATTTTGTTCATTAACGCTGGAATCGTTGCTTTTCCTCTTGATTAAAACCCTTTTTAAGGCTGATCTATACTCAATCTCATTTTTCAAATCCAGCTACAATCCAGTATAAGTAAGGCGTTAGAGACTATGCCACTCTGGGTTTCTCTGATTCAGACTCTTGAATAGCTACGCAGGCAACACACGCTGTCAGCCAACTCCTAAAACAACGGTAAGAAAAGAACTGCATTGCCCTGGGAAAGTGGCATTATCCTGTCCTACTTCTTAAAACTACACTACACCTATTCTATGTGCTGTTAACAAAAAACATGCTGCAGGCCATACTAATGAAACGTCTATCCCACAGCTAAGTCCACATGATTTTTTTTTTTTTTTTAACACACAAGTTCAGACATGGTTTTCAAGCACGATGAATAGAGAACAATGTCCTATTTGTGTGGGTGTGTGTACTGTGAAGCAGGCGAGGTTTAAGTGACTGCAGATTTTTGAATAGGAATCAAAAAAGGTCGTTTGAAAATGCCCAACTCTTGCTCCTGCACAGTTTATGACCAAATATCTGGGATTCACAAAGGACGCTAGAAAAAGGTATTAGTAGTAAACAAGAACTTGTTGGTTTCTTCCACAGAAACAGCAATACCAAGAATAAAATTGGTAACAGAGTAGAAAATGGTTTTTTTTTTTTTTTACTGCGTGCACTTAAGATACTTTTAGCAATTACGCTTTTCTTTGTTTTTTTTCTCCACTCAGAGCTTCAAAAAAATTGACTAGTCTTCTAATGAAAAAGAAAAGAAGCCGATGTTATACAGTAGTGGAAAACAAACCAATTTGTTGAAAATTACTGTTGAAAAGTATTCTTCGCTAATAGGTCACATTTATTCTCTGAAACACTGTGCAAATTTTTAAATTCTTCTGAGGCTGTGGTGAATGTTTTTCCTCTTTACAATAATGTTTTGAGGAATCACAGCTAGCAAGCCTCTCAGAAAGGGAACATAAGTACCCTCCTGAAGCAGTTTTTACCATAATATCACACTTCTCTACCTATTTTCTCTCCTCTTCAGAAAATATCCCCCAAAATTACTTGCTTTCAAACTATAATGACTTACCAATTTCTTCATTTATGCCCTTCAAGAAGGTATATATCTAACTTCCAATTGTTTCATCTGCCTCTTTTCTGTTGAGTCTCCTAGTTTTAGAAAATGGACATAAATGAGAATAGCTCTTGACGTGAAGAATACTGATGACTTATTTTAACATATTTATTCCCTATAAGCATTCATTAGTTAAAAAGGAATACTTTTCTCAAAGTACTCTCCAGTACATTTTTAAAAATACAATTATCCAAATAGACTACTCCAAGAAGAGACATCGCCCAGCAATTAATAACCCAGTAGCTGAAGGCTTGTTGGCTTTCTCACCAGAACCATTCTTCACAGCTTCTCTCAGTTCAGGAAAGCAAATGTGCCTTGTAGCAGGCCCTGAAGGATAATGAGTTGGACGATTACTGGCAATAGTTAGTATTTAGATGAGAAGCAGGAAGTATTGTTCTGAGCACAAGACAGAAAATCTGAAACTCCCAGGCCCAGCTCTATGATCCTCCTGGAGGCTTTGGGTAAATCACTTCATTTCTTCACCTCAGTTTCTTTATCTGTAAAGTAGGGATAGCATTGCTTTATTTTGCCACGTGATTTGACAGGCTGTTGTAAAATTAATGTTTGGAAAATGCTTTGAAGATTAAAAAAAAAAGTACATTTTAATTGTGGAATTTAATACAAACAACTCCTAAGGATAGCGTTCTGTACTGTATTATAAAGTAATCAGGATAGATTAAATGCTGAAGTCACACCACAGGACCTACAATTGAGTTTTTAGAGCAATCCACAATAGCATTTCCTTAGAACAAGCTATAGAAAGTGCAAACCAAAAATGCTCCCCACTGTTTCCTTGTGGTAAGAATGTTGCAACAGAAATGGTAAAGAGATATTCTGCTAATAGCATTTCACTCAAAACGTCCACAGAGTGTTTCAGCTGAAAACAAACTGACAACTCAGTGGATAGTAATCCTGGGCACAAGCTGCCTTTGAGTGTAGCTCATTGGCAGTCCTGTAGCTCAAGTGTCAATTTTTTTGTGTTGCAAAGTAGCCGTAGATCAGGTAGCAGCACGTCTGGGGCAGAACAAAGCAGGCCATCTGAGCACCAGAAAGTGGCATTAGAAGGCAGGGTTTTCTTGGAGACCATACTTTAAAACAAAAAGTAATTCTCAAGGTAAGTGGAATAGTAGGGCTTTATTTTTTAGCCTTGCCTGTGTGTGGGCTGCCACTTTTGAATCATGAGGCTAGTTGAGTTAGGTCTGTTGTCTCATACTTCCACTAGAAACTACTTTCTGAAGAAAGGGTGACAGCTGTGAACAGCTTGGTGGATGATGGGCTACTTCCAAAGAAGGACTGGCATCTAAAACAGGATTTGGGTACCCCACAGGCACCTAACTGAACACTGCAACTTAAAACCATTTAATGCCAGGGCTGCTGAAATGCTCTGACATTTTCATGACCGACCCCAAACGTCTTTACGCACCTGGAACTCTGCTTTAGCTCACGCGCAGACTTTGCGTGCCCTGGGGAGTGCTGTGAAGGCTTGCAGAGCATCTCGGAGCTCAGCAATGGTCCCGCTGCGCTCCCCAGGGCTGCTCAGAACACCCCTACCACAGCAGCAGGAGCAGACCCAGTCCTCTCACCCCCAAAGCAACTTTCTATTTAAAATACAAATGGTTACGTCCCTCATAACATGCTAGAGTTCAGAGCAAACCTCAGGAAGTAAGAGTGCCAGATTTTGATTCTCTTCATCTTGAGAGTTTCCACCCAGTGTCTGCATTGCAGAAGAGAACTCACAAAAGACAATGTGGGGTGAAAAGACAGCTTCCCACTTTCCCATGGGATGACTGTTGCTCGACAAAAAAATGATCACAGGTTACCTGGGCCAAAGACAGAGAAAAAAGTGCAAGTGTTAGAGACCGGAACAGTCATGAAGAAAAGGACTTTCCTGGGTTTTGGTCTTTCATACAATTGTCTCTGCATTTTGCATTAAACCTCCATTGGAATAACTGCGTAGCCAGCTGTCAGACCAGAGACAGCGACCCTGAGTTGTCTCCTACCAGGCGTGTTGAGTCCCCTTCTAGAGCTTGCATCATTTGATAGGCAGGTCCTTAATCAGCTCATTTTCCATGTCCAGGTGCTGTTTCAAAAGAGGCAAATCTCTTTCTTGTTTTCCAATAAAAAGCTATCAACCCAGACTAAATAAGGTAGGAAGATTATGGCAATTCATGGTAGATGTGAGGTTGGAAGCCTGTTCTAAATCTACAGTATTGAATGAGCACTTTGTGCATTGAAAGTGGTATCTCGTCCTGAGGCAGCAATTCAATGCATTTGCAAATCATGCTGCAGTTTTAAAGTGGCAGTTGGTAGTGACCCACTTCTTTATTGCACGCAATGTTACTCAGTTGAGTTGTGCTAGTCGCTGAACAAAATCCTAGCATTTCATATAGCTGTAAATATTTATGAGTTCAATGCAATTTTTGCTAATATTTTAGCACTGTTATATGAAGAGATTATCCACAAAGGGTGAGATGTTGCTGGCATTTTGCACAGGCACCAAGAGAGCTTTTGAATTTTTTTCTATTGAAAGGCATCATCTCAAGAACAATCTACAAAAATGCTTCAAGTATGACAGAGCACTTCTCATCATTTATAATACATTTATGCCCTGTTACATAAACACAGCAGCAAAACAGAAGATGTCTATCTGCTTCCTGAAGTCATTTTTGTTATGGCTTGGAGGCCCATTTCAGAGTATTATCCTCTTTCTGAGCAGAGGTAAAATACATAAATGGAGACAAATGAGGGGAAAGTCGATGCACAAAGCAGGAAAGCTGCTCAGATAAAACATACAAAAGTATCTGTTTTCCCAAAATATGCTTAGAGCGAGGCTCCTTCTGGCTCATAATAGGAAGTTAGCTTATTTCTTAAGGTCTCACCCGTGTACTTAGTTAGGAAACAAACTTCAAGCTTTTTAGTTACAATACAACGTGAAGGCAGATGCAGACTGAACAAGGTGTATGTATGTAGGAAGGAATGGGACCTTGCAGCCATCAGGTCACAAATACATCTGCTAACTAAGAAGCATGCGTGGCAGTGGTAAGTCATATACTTATGTCGACTTAAATGTTGAGTCACTTTAGTATTTAGTATTACAGCAGAGCTTAGAAGGAACAATTGGTAAATAAGACCGGGCCCCACACACTCACGGAACAAAAAGACAGGCCCTGAAGAAACGGCAGCCTTAAAAAATAAGTTAAATATTGGCATTGCTCATGAAGCTAGGACATAGTGAAATCTGTTCATAAAAGACATCAGAATGTATCCAAGCACTACACTGTTATAATGGTATACAGACTATCTTCTGAATCAGAAATACTTATAAGTAATAATATTCCTTGCAGGAAGCTGACAGAAAAAGACTGAGATTATATTTTTGGCTGATTACTATGAGGGAAAAGTTTCTGATTCCACTGCTGGTTTGTTCCAACAGCCGGCTACAAGACAGGGCTGTTAGCGCCATTTGTGACGTTAGGAACAGTCAGCTCCACTGAGTCTTTTTTGCTTTGCAGCTAAAGACAAGCTTCTTTAAAAAGACAAAAGAAAACTACTCTGTCAAATAAAAAATAGTCATAGCCAACCTGGAAAGATATTTATGCCCACGCTTTTGCAAGGGTATGGCAAGCAGCAGGAAGTAAGAAATAGATTGTTAAAATAGAGATGGCAGTGACAATTGAAACGATCCTTTGCTGGCTGTTCATATAGGCAAGAGATGTCAAGAGATAAAGAGTTCAGAAAAAATGTTTAGCAGGCAGGGAGAGCGAGCTTTCTGTCTGAATATTTTTGGTCAATTATCATACAGTAATCTGAAATGTATTTTTTTGCTACATTTATTCCATTCACTGAATTGATTAAAAAGGCAGTGTTTTCAGAAATATGGCTATGGATTAAATATAGATGTGCACAGATAGGAGTAATTTCTTATGCCACTGAAAAAGATGTGTATTATGCATATAATAGAATCAGATTTGCATCTGATTTACAATTTCAATATAACTAAATTTAAAACACCTTTGGATCACTTAGTTTTGTCAGTTACTTGTCCTGTCTGAGATCAGTCTTGCTGTGGTCCGTAATGATTTAAATTAAAATTGAGTAAAATGGCTATGACCTGGCCTTTTTTCTGAACTTTATTCCACTCTTATTCTAAAATGATAAGAAAAGCAGTGTCTCAAGTAGGGATTTTCTGAAGAATCCCTTCTTCCATTTTTGGACTAGGCCATCTGTTCTGCCCAAGGATGACTGAGATACTGAAATACCCAGATGTTTAAACATCCCAGTAATGGACAGTAATGGACTACCTACTCTTACTTGCCAGCAATCGTGAGATTTCAATGTTATGGGCAAGGCACGTAGGAGTTGATTCACCATCCCATTAAACGCCATAACGTGACACTCAAAACTAGACAACTTTTAGACATTATTGTGGTAAAAAGAAAAACCTCACGGTTAATAGCTGACTATTTAGAAAAGGGAGCAAGCTGTGCAGGGATTGCTAATTAAGATTCAATCATGATCAGGGTAGCATAGTTAAACCTCAGCTCATTTATAGTAACCGTAAACAAGCGGAGCCTACCTCCATGGTGAGAGCAAGGCAGTATGGCTTAGCTTACAGTGCTGCTTTCACTGGAGGGAAGAAATCCCTTAAAAGGCTCTGACCAGGAGCTATGGTTTTTAGGGCTTTATTTAAGCAAAGCATGTAGTGTATTTATGAGGAAGCCTCTGAGATTTTCAGCATGCATCCAGTGGTGAGCTGCTTGGTTACAATATTGTATTAAATTACTGTATTTTTTTCTGTAAGTAATTTTATGAATCCCCAGTCAGAAGCATAATGGTAATTTTCCAGCCTTAGAGCATGAAACATCTTCAGCTTCAGGTTCTAAAAGATGCAAGGGATTCATTAAAATGAAGCCAGGGAAATGATTATATCTGCCTGCACAGAAATCCTGACTTTGTGATTGCTAGAATCTCTTTATAAACAAGGTCTACACATATACAGCTAAACGTGATGGAAAAAAAAAATGCTCTTAGTACTTTACAGAGTGCCAAGCTGGGGGCTGGGAGTCAAAGCAGAGATAAACCTGTAAAGATGTCTCCAAAACTGACTTAGTGTAATATTCACTACTCGATAAGCCAAGCAAAACAAGACAAAAAGGGCAAACTTACATGTTTTCTCCCTGGAATTCACAACTCCATGCTTGGGATCTACGGAGGGAGGGTTCACATTAACCTCAACTGTGTCATATTTAACTTGGCTATTGGAAGACTTACTTGGCTCCCTTTGTAAATACCACACCTTTCATATTACTGACTTTCCCCATTCTTAATATTGCTGTTTTGCTACATGGAGATTTCTTGTCATACTTGTTATTTCTTTTAAACATACATGGCTAATCCTGTATGTTGCCGAACTTCTAATAAGTAGACTTTCAGTGGATACTGACTGTGTCCCATCATTAAGATGTTGCATGCATGGGGCATTACTGCACGATTTACAGAGGGTGAATGAACGAAAACAAGAGGCTTGGTCCAGTACTGTGATATATAGACCTATAAGGTAAAGTTTTAGGGCACAGCTTCGTGGCTCTCCAGGGGGAATTTATATTCAGAAAAGCAATAGGAAGTCAGTGCTTTAGCCCGCACAAGAATTCTACAGCCAAATTCATAAATTTTCATTTTGACTTCTTAACTGTATTCTAAACTAATGATGCGTTGATAAAAAGGTTTTCTCAAAAAATATAAACATGGTTTCACTTTTTCAGCTACAGAGTGCCTCATTCACCCCCGTCACCATCTTTCACTCCCCCACTCTGCCCTTTCACCATGGCCATGAAGAAGCCCTAGGAACTGAGAGTTTCGTAATGTGCTCGCTTCTGAAGAACTTGCACAAAAAGTCAATAATAAGGTCCTTTTAAAGACTTTCTGCTACCTCTGTCCTTCTTGATTCTGGAAGTTGTTTGCGTAAGTCTCTGATGACCATATCTATCGCTTGGTCACACTGGAGAGGGAAGCTGTCTCTCAAACATCATTTGAACTTTATATTTATAAACGAAAACTTCAAACTCCAGGTTTAAGTGAACTAGAAGTCATTGAGGTTCCCACACATCATGAAGCTTTCACCCAACTACACAGCTTGACAGCCAGCTATACATTATACAAACTGCATTTCCCAAGTGGATAACTGGGAAATAATAGCTGGGAAGTACTAATGTAATGTTGAAATGACATACAGAAGAATAACTTTATGAAAGCTTACTCTGGAAGACTCCTCTTTTCAAGAGCAAACAATAGAACTGCGCTCTGCTCCCCGGGCCTCCAGGACCATAATTCTAACAAAGTATACAGTTTGGCTGTGACCAGGAAAGATACTGACATAATTTCTGCTGTCTTTGTTCTAACACTATTCCTAAAGTCCTTATCTACTTGGGAAAGCTTTACCAATATACCAGTCTTCCTAGTATGCAGCTTATCAATTTAGGCCAATTATTCAAAAGGAAAAGGAGTGTGCCAGCAGGAGCACTTCCTTTTCCCCAGCGTAATTTCATTTACGCTAAGGCGTTGACAGTCAGAAATTGTATACCTATGTGACACTGCTTATTCTCAGCAAAAAAAAAAATTAGTATAGATAAGGTTTAAATTGCTCATGAACCCAGCAAATTAAACTTCATCAGTATTAGACATTGAACAAGTGCTATACCAGCTTCAGAAGAGATGCAAGTAAAAAAGAAAAGATTATTTGAACATCTGCTAAAGATGGACTTTCTTTTAAAGTGAGGCTCTAACTTATCTGCAAGAGGGTGGCACCATGCCCTTCCCTGTTCATCAAGGCAGTGATGTAGATTGTATGCCTTTCTGCTGGCTTTCAGTAGCTATGAGGGACACGAGTCTCTTTTGCAGGCCGTTGCCTCTCCACCCTGCTGCCATTCTGAAGACCGGTATGGGTGGTGGCACAAAACTTCAGGCAGAAATGATGCTCTGAATTTGTCTTCCCCATATCTGAGAGCAGCACCTCCATCACAGATCATACTTCTGCCCAACTGGTTAGCTGTATTTTGACTTCAGAGAAACCTGACGCAAGTGTACACAGCACCAAACGACGCCTTTCAGAAAGTGCAGAGTACCCTGAACAGGCTACCAGACAGGCTTTCGCAGGTGCTAGGATGTCAATATACATTTTAAAAACACCTTGCATTTTTGTTGCTCAAACTAGAAGTGCGGTTTTCTGCTACCGTTTCTCTAGGGTTGTTTCTTCCTAGTTCATCAGCTCCCTGTCATTCACCATAGCAATAGCAGGATTCTCTTTTTACCCATGCCGTCTAAAGCTGCGAGGGCTGTGTAGATACCTAGCTTGTGCCAGCTATGTTCTACAGCTTAGTTTACAGCTAGTCTTGTAAAGTCATTCATTGAGATTCTTGTCACATTTTACTATTTAAAAATCCATTGAATACGGGTGAAAAAAACCCTTTCATCTAATTTAGAAGCAAAATCTCCCAGATGGGACTATTGTCAGAGTTTGTCAGTGTTCTTGCTCAATTAGCTTGTCAGTGAACTTTGTGTTGTGAACGAATAGCCTCTTAACGTGGTCACAGAAACGCACGGACTCCTGGATGCCACCATGTAACTAATTAAAAAGATGTAATTTTAGATGTAACCTGCTGTAAGTGATGTAGCTTGTTATACCTCCTTCCATTTTAAATCTGCACTGCCACTTTTACATGCATACTGCTTGTATTATGCAGCCATCTAGAGGGCTTTCTGTCTGTATCGACTTCAGCTGTTGCACCAAAACCACAAGACCATAGGAAAATGTAAGCGCTACTGACCCTTAGTGGCCATAACTCTTCTGTGGTATTGTGGGAATATCTGCTAAATTCAGCAGCGTTGTCTGGTGCTGTTACGCAGGCACTGTTACAATTTTTTAGGGAAAGTACTGCTGATGGCAACAATTTGGAAAGTACTGTCAACAGGGAAAAGGATTAGGGCATCACAGAGGAAAATGTACCTGACTTTAAGCTTTGCAGCAATTCAATAATGCAAATACAGTATCAGGTGTTTAGGGGCTACCACAATTGACACTGTAAGCTGAAGGTGTGAGTCATCATTGGAAAAGACAGAAAGAAAAATTGGAAGCATCAGTCAGAATGGTTATAGACCATCACGCGGCTCTGACAAAGACAAATGCAATTCTTGGAGACACCAGGAGATGTATTCCTGTTTCACATACGGAAAACTTTACACATTGTACAAAGCACTAGTGAGACCTCATCTGGAATATTACAGGCAAGTCTGGCTTTCGAGGATCAGGAAAGATGAATTTGAATATGCAAAGAAAGGCTCTTAAGGTGATCGGGGAACTGAAATCCTATTTTATAATAGGAACTTATGCAAGATCTAGCAAGATGACATCTGAAAGGATATGAAACACTTCCCAGTATACACACATCAAAGATGTCAACAACAAAGAGGGATAAGAGTTACATGGTGCAGGAATAGGTGCAAATATAAATTGGCCAACATGTTTTAGGCCAGAAAGTAAAAACGATTTTAACAATAACAGCAGTGAGGTTCATTAAATAGGTTTGAAGTATAAGGAGGAGGGCAACCCCCCCCCCCCCTTTGAAAATGCAGGTTGAGATGGCTTCTATGATATGATTGCCAGCATTGGCACTTCCTGTCCCACGTTCCTATTTTGAGGGTGGTTTTGGGGCTTGTTAATCTCTAAAGTTATCATGTGATTACTGCAAAACCAGGTATCACTCATGTCACTCTATTCTGGTATCTTTCACTCCAGCAGAAAATAATTGTAAATGGCTGTTGTGAATGTCTTATTGTAAAATGGTATGACTTTGGTTTTAATACGATCCTTCATTTTTACTTCACAGTTAATTTACATGGCCTTTTCTGGAACAACTTTCGAGAGGTATATGTATTGAAGAAGATTACTCTGTTATTAATTTTCTTTACAGCACTATACTATTTTTCACCACTCTCTCTCTGGTTTATCCCAAAAGGTCCATCCAACTCCTAAAAAGTACCACAGTTGGCACCATCTTCCTGCAACTCATTTAAACATGTAATGTACTTCTATCATCCTTTCATCAGTCATCATCATTATGATGCCTACATCTCTAGTCACACATTACCCAAATGGTTTAAATACAAGAGAAGTGACTGTGAACAAACACAGGCAAGAGAGTGCAAGAAAGCAATGGGGCAATGCTCACCTGCATGATGGTGGTGGTTTCAGTGTACCACCAGTCTAGCGACTGCGAAGGTTTTTGGTGTCAGCAAGTACCTAAAGGCAGCTTTGGAGAACTGTGACACGGCTTTGCATGTTTATGGACACCTCTCCCAGGCGTGAGGAGAATGAAGAAGGAAGGATGAGGTGTTGCCTGCAAGTGTAAGAAGTGGGCAATGGAGACTGATTCCACTGGGATAGCTGACTTCCCGACACCGAATGAGAGAGGACACATAGGACACAGGTACTTTATGCCACTAAAGACATGCCAGCTGGGAGAGGGAACAAAAGCAGGCAAAGGTCATGGGCCACAAAAATGGTCTTTGCAGCAGTGAATCAGGCAATGTTCTCAATAGATTAAGTGGAGCTACACTGCATTTTTCATACCCAAAGAAAACGAAGTTTCATCAACTGAGTTACGAGGCGACAAGAGGTTCAGCTTTATGAACGAACACAGAAACAGTATTGAGCATTTCATTCAAAGATGAATAGAAAGATCCAGATTTAGTCAACAGACCCACAGTCTTCAGTCTCTGTCTCAAGTCAGAGACGATACGACAGGAAGGGTAACGGTACTGTCCATAGTGACTCAGAAAGAAGGAAACATGAAAGGCTCAATGGAATGGAGTTGAAGGGTCTAGTGTGGCCACACTGGGCTTGTGCCGCGTATCTACAAGAATGTCGGCCAGGTGAGAACTGCAGATCAAGCAGGAGAGAAGAGCAAGACAGACCGAGGCACCATCTCCATAAAGAAGTAGTTCAGTTTGTGTTGGCAGATGAGACTTTTTGAGCAAAAAGATATGAAAGTAGAAAAGAGGGTAATTTCCATTCAGTGTGAATGAGTACAGTTTCCTGGAGGACAAGTCATGGAAGTCAGATGAATACAGGATCTTTAGAAAAAAAAGCACATTTGAAAGTCAGCACATTTAATATTGAAAGTCAAAGGTTGAAGAGGGAACACTACTTACAAGCTCAGTTAGGAAGAGTTTGTTAAAGATTTTAGCAAGAGCGTATCACTTGGTTACAGGGACAGAGGACACGATAGAGGGGTTTATGACAAAATAAGAGAACAGGAATGTTCAATGAGCTTGGAAATAAAGAGAAATACGGCAGTTACTGGAAAAGTGAGTGAGGCCAGGGATATTTTATTCAGTATGACTATTCTTTCCTTACCACAATAAATTCAATTGACTTTGTTCTTATCAAAAAAGGTCTGCAAACTTTTATTCAATATACTGTGGATCTTGTCTGCTAATCTGCCTCGCACAACATCCTTTCAATATTGTCTGTCTTTCCCGTAAGTCAAGATGACGCCAAATAGTTGAAACTTGCATTAAAAATTGAAGGTCAGATTAAAAATTACACAACTTTAAAAGAAAAATGACATCCTTTTTAATCCTTACCCTGCTAATCCAGGGTACCCTTGGCGTTTTGGCTTTTTCACATGACAGCCAGCGTCACAAAGCTTTACTGTAAAGGAAGACTGAGAGTCTTACGTCGATTCATAACACCGAGAGCGTGAGAACGGCACGAGACACCACGAAGCGTATTGCAGAGCCACCTTCTTTCCGTAGGACCTCTCCCTCGTTTTCGGCACCACGCTGCGGCGGCCTGACCGTCCCCGTGTCATCCGCAGCTTGGTCTCTCCTTCCTCACTCCATTTTCTTCCCCCTCCATAATCTCCTACGACAAAACCGCTTCAACCTAGGCCCAGGCGGCGATGGAAGGCCTAAGCGGCCTTGCTCACCTCCCACAAGCGCAATTTACACTTTTAACTATCAAACCGCGGGCAGCCACCCCGCCTCGGCCTGCAGCTCTGCCCCTCGG